ATTGTACAGTGGCATTAAGTGCCGTAATGTGCACCTCTGCCTACCCCTTCGGGGATAAAAAGGCGTGATGTTATGTTATGTTATGTTATGTTAAATAATTTGTATCCGTAGAGTATTTTGGAGAAAATAAAGGTTTTTATTATATTATTGTAATATTCGCTCGTTCGCACATTGCTCAAGGAAGGAGCGAGGGACCTCATCAACACCCTCAATGTTAACTGTGCCTTTCACTTTTGAGTCAGGATGTGGCAATCTCTAATGAATAGTTTATTATTCTTTGGATAATGAGATTTTATTTTATTCTGATTCTGATTCGTACGCGCAACCCCGATTTCTCCCATTCCCATAGGATTTTCAGGACTTTTTCTATCTTAAGAACCTTCTCCTGACAATAACAAACACAACAAAAAAAAAATCAGCAAAATCGGTCTACCCGTTCTAAAGTTATGGCGTGACAAAGGGAAAAGGGTTTCATTTTTATATATATAGATGACATTTCAAATTAAGTAGGGCTAAATATAAATCAAGGTAAGTGGTAGCAATGTGGACCTCTGCTTACTGCTACGGGGATAATAGGCGTGATGCTATGGGCGTGGAGCAACGTATTAAAAAACGATACAGTGTACAATTTGTTTTGAAACAAGCAACAAAAAATTACAATATTCCAACCGAAAAAAACTCGAACAAAATCAATGAATGTATTTATGAAATGGCGAGCTTTCAGTGGCAGTGAATAAAGTATCATATTTTGTTCCAGTCCCACCAATGGGAGCACGACAACGAAGCTGTCTGCAAATGGCTGGAGGCCCAGGCTGGGGACGACAACTCCGTCCTGGAGCGGAACCTTCGAGCCATCCACCAGGATGCACTCATGCAGGCTGTTAATAATCTTGTATTGGTGAGTTGTTTACTCTTATGTATATATATATATATATTTGTATTTATATATATAGGTATTTATTTATTTATTTTAAAACTAGCTGTGCCCGCGATTTCTTCCACGGGGAATTGTGATTCACAGCTCCGCCCCCGTAGATAGTGTGATAATATGTAGCCTATATGTTGTACAAACCTGTTAGTACCTATAATAATATATAATCGAGGTAATATTCATGCAAAATTTTAAGTAAATGCATACGGTACTTTTTGAGTTTAGCCCGGACATACATACAGACAAACAGACAAAAATTATATAAAAAATATTTTTGGCTTCGGTATCGAGTGTAGATACCAAACATTCTTTTAAAAAAATATTCGATGTACAGTTTTCACTTTCCTACGATTTTATTATATGTATAGACTTGAGCTGACAATTAGATAAATAAAATATAATTATCGTAGTTAGACCGCTTCCTCTTAAGACCAATCTCAACTTAAACTGTCAAACACCGCGAGGACACCGGTGACCGCAACCTATTGTTCTATAATTGTGTCTATAATGACGGTACTCGACGAGTTAATTTGCAATGCGCAATGCAAAAATAAATAGTCATTTCGAATAGGTTATTTATAAAATATGATAAAAATACCTCTTTTTTGAGGTCGTCTCAGTAATATACTACAACGTCCTACGTGTAACAAACATTTTTCTGTATACCGCATCGAAATCGGTGCAGTCAATCACGAGATAATCACACACAAATATACATCTAAGTGTGGGAGAGCCATGCTTCAGCACGAATGGGCCGTCTCGACCGGAGTAGTACCGCGGCCGACCAGAAAACCGACGTGAAGCAACGCTTGCGTTGTGTTTCGTCGTGTGAGTGAGCTCACCGGAGGCCCAATTACCCTCCCCTTCCCCAATCTCCCCAATTCCTGAATCACCAACGATCCTCAAACTCCTAATCCCCCAAAGGCCGGTAACGCACTTGTAACGCCTCTGGTGTTCCAGGTGTCCATGGGCGACGCCGATTGCTTACCATCAGGTGATCCGTCGGCTCGTTTACGGGTTTAGGCCATAAAATAAACAGACACAGGTCGAACTGATGACCTCCTTCTCTTTTTGAAGTCTGTTAATAATATGTTTTCCTCTTTACAGAAACTAACGCCGTCCCAGCGCGGCGAATTCATAAGAAAACTGTCGGCGCTAGAGATGGAACACTAAATATAATATATAGGTAATGTTTAAATTAAATAGATCGAACAAATTGTCTAGGGTACATATTTATTTGTTGTTGGGGCTTCTAGATGCATATACAAGTCTGATTTACTAAGGTCGACACACTGAAACCACTGTCGTGAGACATACTAAATTAACTGAAAATCATGAGGAAGGACCCCTCTGTGGTTCGAAACTAGTAGAGCTTCTCTAAGTATATTCACGTGAGGAACCCGCGATTTTTAGTTCACTGAAACCACTCTTGCGTTTAGTTTTTTTTGTGCAACTACCTTCTGCCAGCAACTTGATCCACATTACCATAGGATATAAAGCAGCTTATTTATTATTCCTCCATAGTCTTCCCGTTCCCGTTCCCGTATTGAATAGAAAACACCCTTTCTCTCTTTCTCCTGGTTCTAAGCTACCTTCCCAACAATTTTTAAATAGAGTGAGATTTTTAAATAGAGCTATATGTTTGTTTGTCTCGACCTCAAGTATAATAGACTTGCAATAAAGTTAAGTTTTATGAATTTATTTGTTTGTAATGTATTAGTTTCGGTGTCGTGTGGAAATATTTTAAGGTCATACTGAATTTTACTCAAAGACTCATACGGTTATGTCAAAAACAATTACTTAATTTACTGATTAATTTCTATCATCATCCACAACAACCTATACGTGGCCACTGTCGCGGAGAACCTAACGGGTAACCGGGGCTCCGGCTCGACGTGCAGGAGAAGGAACGGGGTGGTTTTTAGTCAGTAAGAGTTTGACACTCCCTCCCGCTTCACCCAGACGGGAGCAGTCATTAGATGATTTTCCGCCCTTAAAAAAAAAAAATACGTGCCCACTGCTCACTAAAGACCTCTTCTCGAATGCATTTTCTCGAGAGCATTAATATTTATTTATTTAAAACCTTACCTAAAACTATCATTACAGTTATCTCCATTACGATAACTTAGGTCTAAAACTAAATCTATGTACCTAATTACTAATTTAAACAAGACAAAACAAAATGAAAAAGGGAGCATACACTAACTTAACTAAACTTAACATTTATCCATAAAAAATAGAGATAAAAGTGACGACGAGATAATATGCTCAAACCTTCTCCGATCGATGTTGATTACACCACGCTTGCTCAATGCGGGTTGATTTCAAACTTATAATTAGAAATTATAAGCCCATGTTTCCTCACGATGTTTTCCTTCACCGTTTGTCAGTGGTATCTAAATAATCTTCGAAAGTATATATATATATATATATATATAATTTAATTAATTTTACTTAAAAAAAGCATGAAATAGAAACTGTCCAGTCGGTCCGTCACTGAAACTAAGTATTCGATATACTTAAATCTCGACCCGAGAATCGAATTCAAAAGCTTGAAATCAATAGCAATATCTATAAGCAACTCAACTATTGAGGTACGCTAAAAAATCTAGAAATTCAGTTCATAAAATATTTTCACACGATTCTGAAATTGTCAAAACATGACAATTTTAATTGTAGTTTCCAATTGTATATTTATTTGTTTTATATATATTATATAAATACAATATTATATAATGTAGTTGTCTAATGGTTGTATGTATATGCTATATTGGTCCTAAAGCCTTTGACTCTTGACCGTCAGTTAAATTTCATCACGTTTTTATATGGCAATAGGCTCACCCCCTATATATGGGACTCATAACATAAATTGTGAAAAGTGGGTGTTACATTGTATATTTGGACCTCTGTTTATCCCTTCAGAGAACAGAAGGTGTTTTGCCAGCGTAGCTGATAAGTGAAGTTCCAAGTTTGATTCTCGAGTCATGTAAAGTTGTGCATGTCTAATAAATGTGATAAGCATTCAAATTAGGTTTAGTGGTAATTCACAGTAATGGCAAAGTCACAATACTCATAAAGTCTAGATTTTACGAATATATTCGCTTTCGCTTAAAAAGCTAAAAGCGTAAAAAATATATTTAGTACATTTGTAGATAAATTTTAAAAATATGTACACCCTGTATATATTAAGTCTTGACTTTAGAGCAGCCTGTACATATTGCTCGAACGCTAACCTTAAAATATCACTTTAACATAATTTTTAAATTGACATTGACACATGGTGTTGTCATAATTGAGGAGGCTATTTTTTAAACACCATGTGTAATGTCATAGCTAACTGACGGTCAAAAGGTGGAATTATGAATTGTTCAGTAATACTATCGTATGAAATTCTATTTTTTTGTGTGTACAAGTCCTAGTTTCAAAATATTTCTATAGACTCACCCCCTATTACACGGGGCTCATAACATCTGCACCTCTGTCTACCCCCTTTGGGGATTTAAAAGCGTGAAGCGTTCCTTGTAGTCAGATTTTAACTATGGTTGTTTTAATGGTAGCTTATAACAAAGTTTAGTTAAATATTTGAACTTGGGAGTGAAATAGTCATTTGTATAATCGTCTACCGTTATTAGTGATGTGCTGGATCCCGGGTCGAGCAAAGAAGTACTGTTTTTTGTGTTCAGTAGTAGCACGAAGTCTGGAACTGTGCCCAGTATATGGCAATAGGCGTACTCCCTATTACATGGGACTCATAACATAAATAGTGAAAAGGGGGTGTTGCATTGTACAGTGGCATTAAGTGCTGCAATGTGTACATCTGCCTACCATTTCAGAGACAAAAGGCGTGATGTTATGTTCATGTAAAATAATAATCGACGGATACCAATTTGTATACCGATACTTGGTGTCAAAGAACAATACTTATATTTCTTCTACCTCTGATACAGATACGGATATCCGAAACATCACTATTTAAAATACATGTTCCAGGCAACTAGCTTTAAATATTCCATTCAATTCGTTTATAAAATGATAATAGGGTAGACGACTAATTTTTATTTTTATGTCCGTCTGGTAGATTATTTAAAATCATTAGACACGTATTTTTTATTTTCTTACAGAAACGAATAGTTTCGGAGATATATTGATTTGAAATGTCGCGTGACGTCACTTCTATGTACGTATTTTATACGTAGAAATGACGTTTTAGCCCCACTCCTAAACTTTGATTCGTTTTATCTAAGTATAGTTTTATTATACGACAAAATAAAAAATACGTGTCTAATATTTTTTCATTACCTAACTGACGGACTAATTAGATTTTTAAGTTTCATACCCTATCATCGTCCCTATTATCGCTGTACATTTTAGTAGCTGTTTATTTTTCATGGCGATCCGATTTCTGCGTCGCAATTTTAACCTACCATTTTGAACGCCACAGTCGGCTGTAGCTGACAGACAAAATATGACGTCATCCGTCACAGTCGGCCACAGCTGACAAGAAAAAAAGATTTTTAAGTACATTTAGTTTGTCGCTATAGCCGACCGCGGCGGTCAAAACGTTAACTATCGACTTGAATGAGAAATTCATTAAGTCAGTAAAGCTGTGACATATTACTAAATGTAGTCGAAATCTGCAATACAATGTACAAAAATGTACTAACAATACATTCCCAATTTACCCGACTTTACTAAATGTAAAGATGTGTACTGCTTTGTTCAATAATTTTATGTGAAAATGTAATTTTGAGTTGTAAGTCCTCTTTTCCCTATTTTAAAACATGGTTTAACATTAAAATTTTAATAAACAACGCTTGCGTTGTGTATTTACTTGTGACCGGAAACCCACTAACTTTCCCCTTCCATCCACACCCCTTCCCCCCTTTCTCCTTCTCTCTATACCCCTTCCCCCCTTTCTCCTTCTCTCTATACCCCTTCCCCTTTTCTCTTTCTCAAAAGGCCGGTAACGCACTTGTAACGCCTCTGGTGTTCCGGGGTATCCATGGGCGGCCGACTGCTTACCATAAGATGATCCGTCAGCTCGTTTATCCTTTAAAAATGGCAATAAAATGTTCAACCAGGTTTTAATATTTAATTATTTATAAAACACTGTTCTATGCGTGTAGTGATATTATGTTTGAGAAGTCGTCCATAAACAAGTTATTTATTATTTAATGTTATGTTTAAAATGGGACCAAATAAATAAATGGTGTATATTATTTATTTTGCTTTTTATTTTTTTCGGTTTTTTACCTATTTGTATGCTATCTTTTTCAAAGTCTAAGACTGCACGGTTGGCGCGGTGGCTGGGCAACTGACTGCCGCGCAACGTGTCGCGGGTTCGATTCCCACACGGAACAACTCTTTGTGTTATCCACAGATTGTTGTTCCGGGTCTGGGTGTCATGTGTATGTGATATTGTATGTTTGTAAACGCACCCACGACACAAGAAAATACTAGTGTGGGGCACGTTTCAAAAAAAAAGGAGCATTTATTTCAATTAAACCATAATCATTTGGTACTTTTGAAACGTCAATAAATACATAATAAATAATAGTCTGTCAGTCAGTCCGTCAGTGAAGCTAGGTGAAGCTAGCTTTGAAGTGTTATTGGGTTGAAATGGGTATAAAAATCAGCCAAGTGCAAGTCAAAGTCAGAGAACTATGACAATGTGAGGACAACGAATTCTAGTAGTAATTTTCGATGATAAAGTAACCAAATTTTAATTCTGCCTGTATCACAAAACCTAGAACTCCTAGCTAGAACATAACCGAATTTTCCAACCTCTCTAGATACACCCTATGATGTATTTTACAATGGACAGACCTGGGAGCTTACTCTTACTCTCTGAATCCAATTCCGATCGATCGACATTAGTATTGTGAAATTTCGTACTCTCGAGTTGTAACACTAGCGCCCATTGCATCCGTATTGCGTGGATATTGAATGAACTAAACGGTATTGAGTTCAGCTATATATTCCGTACTCTGAATGCTATTGTAACAGATACGATTGTGGTTGTATAGTTTTGACATTGAATAATTATTGAGATTTTATTGGATTGAAATTGCATTGATATTGAGATTGGTTTCAAGAGTAAGCACCCTGGAATGACCTTGGGTGAAGTTGCCCCATTTATAAAATCTAAAACTTATATACGTATCTATTATTATGTTTTCGGCTTACTCACGTAATTATTTGACAAGGAACTCGACTAGTTTCAAGCCATGCTAGCAGCTCATATTCATGAGTAGCATTTCGCGACCCGCGACGCGGCGACTGTCGCGCTGCTACTGGGTGAGTAAGCTGATAGTATATGTCTCACGAAAGTTATAATCTAAAACCTATGTTAGCAAAAACATAATATTTTCGATAGA